GGGGGAGAGAGATAGAGGGCAGAGGGTGGGGGTGAGTGAGTGAGTGATAGAGGGAGAAGGAGGGGGAGAGGGAGAAGCGGGGAGAGATAGAGGGAGGGGAGGGTGAGTGAGTGAGGAAGGGAGGGGGAGAGAAAGAGGAGAGAGAGAGAGGAAAGAGAGAGTGACAGAGAGAGAGAGAGAGAAAGATAGAGTGAGTGACAGAGAGACAGAGAGGCAGAGAAAGAAAGAGAGAGAGGGAGAGAGATAGAGAGATAGAGAGATAGAGAGAGATAGAGAGAGAGAGAGAGAAGCAAGACAGACAGAAGCAACAGACAGCCAAAACCAAAGATATACCAACAAACTGACTCTCAGGCAAATACCATACATACTTTAGACGGGAAAAAAGACTAACATTTTTTTAAAATTCTAGCCGTACTCGGACTCGAACCCTAAACACCTAGGAAACAGACAAAGTTTTCAAGCAACTATAGACCACACTATGCAGCCATCCATCACTTTCTGCCATAAAGACAAGATTAATCTTACAGAAATCTGAATGTTTGAGTAAAGAGAAGCAGACACAATAATGCCCATTTAGTGCTGGGGAAAAGTAAGACAGACAGACAGACAGACAGACAGACAGAAACAACGAAGGGAAAGTAAAGAAGTAAGACAGGACATACTACTACCGGAGTTTTACCATCTCAAGTCTGACTGAACATTGGAAACGATATAAAAGTTTTAACGCCACTCTCAAAAGTTTTTAGTTTCAGTAAGTGTTTCACAATTTATAGCACAAGCAACAAATGTCATGTAAGTGCCGAAGACTAGAGGTGTTACAAGAGAGTAACAAAAACAAAAACACAAAAAATGGAGAGATCAGACATTTGATAGGAGGAAAGAAAGAGCAAACCACACCAGAGCACCCACCAACCACCCGCTGAAATAATCCGTCAGAATCTGGACACACAATCACAGCACACTTGGTAGGACTGGAACAATAATTTATTCATAAATGCCCAAACCAACACGCCCATCCAATTAGAAACACAGCGAGCGGGCAATTTCCCAGCACGAACTGGGCTACAAGTTATCATAATAAGTATAGATATATCAGAACTTTCTAGCAACAACTAATCAAGTAATTTCCCACAGTGTATTACCATTGTTGGATTAAATAGCGAGACACACACACATACACACACATACACACACACACACACACACACACACACACAC